GTTCAAGTTCCAGGACACTAGGATTACATTTTAAATGAACTTATTATTCCCTCATTTATTAATATTTACCTATATTTATTTCCTAAGTGCCCTTTAAATTATGGGCCTCGAGCTAGCTACAGGAACGGCAGCAAAGAGTAAGAGAAGACAGTGCCTTCATCTCCTCACTTCTAAGGAGCTTTGAGCCTGAGGGGAGTGAAGCCTATAGAAAACAAGTCACTTTTATAATATGCACTCACTGTGGTATTATTCCGGCAAGTACTACGGGCAAAGATCACAGGCCAAAGTGGGAGCACGCCCTAGTAAAGAAATAAAGGAAAACCTCTCTGAGAAGTGGGCCAGATAAAGTGAGAGTGGAGATCTACTGCTATCAAGTTTCATGGCTAAAGCTGTAAGGCTTTGCCAAGATGAAACATTCTTGCTAAAGAAATAGATTTTGCTCGATTTCTTTCCTCTTAGAAGCTCAGAATCAATTGAGACACATACATAGGAGTCAAATAGAGATGGAAATAGCTTTCTCATTGGTTAAGGTCGATTAGAGAATGTGGCTTTGACCTGCAGTCCAAATCAGGCTTTCTGCTCCTTTTCCCCCAGTTTCAGCTCTGGGACCCACGTGTAGGAATCGTGGGGTTTGCAGATCGGATGTTTGCTGAGCCTGCTGTGTAACGGTCATGATCTGCTCATCTGCGTGAACCCAGAGAGGCTGAGGGTGGGCACGGAAGTGAGCCTCCTGACTTGTCTTCGGAAGATGTTCCTGTCCTTGGAAAGTGTTCCTGGACTCTTAATCAGGTGCACTTCCCACGTGGGTGGCAGGCTGGAGAAATGAAAGCCTCTGTTCTCTGGGTTCCCTGGGCAAAAAGAGAGCCCTCGGTTCTTCAATGAGCTCTGGGGGAAGGTCGACTCTCTGGGTCCACGTCCATGCATTCACTCTTTTCGATCAATAATTATGTCTTAATTCCATAAAGATTAAGAAGGCTACACCAGATGGTCTTGGTCCTCCATCCCAACCTTAGCAGTAAGATGGATCACTCCTCATCTGTAGAGAGGACTAAATGGGAAACAGAAAGAAGAGAGGATGCCTCTTCCTGATGCTTGCAAGAGGACCATGCCTCTGTTCGTAATGTGGCAGGACCGGAGGGATAGGGAGGTCACGAGTTGCCCAGACAGATATCTTGTGCTCCAGAGATCTTTGGAAATCTTTATTGACTTGAGATAAGGGTCACTCACTGTACTGTATTCATTCATTTTCATTTATTCTTTTATCAATTACTCACTTCCTAAAATACATAAGTCTCGTCACAGGTATAGGGGATACAGGAATGAATCAGATGTGGTCCATGCTAGGAGCTCACTTATTATGGGGAGAGACTAGACACTAATGTTGTTTACTACAGTGAGAGATCCTAGAGGAGGAGTCAACACGGCCTTTTGTTAAAGAATAATCTAGAAGTGATGGAGGATGGGCACACTCCACCCCCATCCCAAAGTGAGTTTCTTTTAAGGAGGGGCAAGATAGGTTATTCATGGGGTCTTGGTTCAGACAACCTGGGTTCAAATTCCAGCCCCACCCTCGCTGTATGGATCACCATGGGTAAGGCACTAACTTCCCTGTTTCCTCATCTTTGAGGAAAAATAAAGCAACATTAACTGTTTCATAAGGTTGTTCAAACATCAAATATGGTAGAGCCTACATGGCATTTGGCAAAGACCTTGTGTATGACATTCACTCGACGCATGTGTGGCTTAAAAAATAAACGAATGAAATGGAAAAAAGCATCTCACTGTCTTACAGTGAGACCGCTGCAGGCAGGCCCTTGGCCCGAGCACTGTGGCGACCCCGTATTTGTATTCTACCGCATGCTGTCCTCCTCCCTGTAATGAATGCCGTGAAAAGGAAGGTTTGATGGACTCATGTTTAAGGACAGCGAGGCAGGTGAATGCTGTGGCACCTGATTCTTCAATGAGCTCTGGGGGAAGGTTGACTCTCTGGGTCCACGTCCACGCATTCGCTCTTTTCGATCAGTAATTATGTCTTAATACCATAAAGATTAAGATGTTACGTCGATTTGCTCTGACTTGCTCAGTTTGTAGATTTGATGAGAGTAATTTTCTTGCTCATTTTCATTGTTTTGATTAATGATTAAATCTTTAAATCAAAAATTTGTAATTCGATTGCTACTAATTTTGTGTGATTTCTATCAAATGAAATTTATTCACTTCTATTATTTCTAGTTCCAAACAGATTATGCTTTTGAAATTTTTTCTTTTTTCTTTTCAGCTTTTTTTTCTCTCTGAGCTTAAGTTCATCTTTTTGGATTATATCTCAATCTTAATTTGTACTTACTCTAAATGATTTAAAAGGTTGAAAAGTAAAATAGATTCAACATCTACAAAATTTTAATAAAAATGTAAATTAAAATAAATAAAAAATTAAAAGATGAAAATCATTTTTCATCTTTTATTAAAAAATAAAAATTATGATTAATTTGCATCAAAATATCAAAAATTACATTTACTTAGACAAAGCCGAAATATTTTATTTGATTATCTGCAAAGTTAATCATATCTTACCTTATTTTTAGTGTTACTATTTGCTGTTCTGGCATGTAATATCCATGTAGTTACCAATGTAAAAAAAAAGCAGTATCATACTTCATGCCCATTACAGCTATAAAGATACAAAATGTTCAGATTAAAACAAATTGTTTAATATAGGAAAATGCTCTTTAGCTGTCCTGGGGAGCTGATGTGTGACTATGTCACCAACACACGTCTACCTCTGGAACCATGAAATCTGAACGCAAAGCAAGAAATTAGATGTCTTCTACTATGTTTGCATGCACAAGTCTATAGCATTTGAACCATTTGCAAGGAAAGATTTCACAAAGTAATGTGTTTGTTCTCTTGCCCAAGTTCTTCCTACTGCTCAAATCCCCCAGTATCCATCTCTGACACACCTATCAGCCTTCACTGCTCCACAGGCACAGTACTTTTTGCTTTGGAGACAAAGAGATGCAGAAGAGCATTTTCCTGGGGCTGGAGCACTTATAGGAGTGGAGGTTTGGGGTTAGGGGTCATTCTGCATCAGAGCTGAGTACTGGCTGCCAAGAAGCAGAGCTGACAGTTTATCGATGCATTTTCTAATGTGTTTGAAATCTACAGCAGCTTCTAAAACATGGGACCCGGGATAGTGGCTTTTGTTGCCTAGCTAGCTTTAGGGGTGGTGCTACACAGGGACAGGCTGGACAGTGGCCGCACTCAGGATGAAATTGGAAATGAACACCTAGGGACAGGAAGTAGGAAGAAACACTGTGGAAAGTCCTTCAGTTTTGAGAAGTGGCCCTGGTGATATTTGACAAGAATATCAAAAAGCTATAGCTTCATGACTCGACTGAAGTTTCTGGTTAAAATAATGCCACAGAAGCTACCCTCCCCGCACACACACACACACACACACGCACACACGCACACACGCACACACGCACACACGCACACACCCTTTCTCTCTCCTTCCTCTCTCTCTCTCTCTCTCTCCTCTCTCTTCACGATCTGCCACCTTGCCTTGCCCGTGAATGGACTATACTCTGCTGAGTAAAAGGCAGGAAAACTATACCTTACTCCCTTGCACTCTGACCCAAGGAGAACGCATGAGTACTCACCGTCTAAAACCAATCGCTAACGTGCCCCTGGAGACTGCCTGAGTCTGCTGTTTCTCAGGATCACCAGGTTTTGGAGACCTCCAGTTTTCAGATTCTCAGGATGATTTACCAGGTCATTCAGTTAATGCTTAGATGTGCTAAACAATGAGGATTACTTGCCTTCTGCCACTGAAGACTATCCAGTCATGTTTTCCAGGCTGTTCCTGGAATAGATACTCTTCTGGCTCTGGGCCCATGAGGCTCTCAGTCAGGACTACAGTCTGTGTGCCTTCCAGCCAGAGGGGCCAGCCCCACCCCATGCGGTCAGTGGTCACCCAGCGGAGACACCCTGACCATAACTCTTCTACTCGTTTATCACTGAAAAAATATTTATTAATCTTTTTCTCCTATGTGCCGTGTTGCTAGTGAACAAACCAAACCCCTGCTTTCAAGGAGCTTGCACTCTATTGGGACAGTAGATAGGGGATGATTATCAGTGTTAATCCATAATATGCCAGATACTCAGGAAAATATAGAAGGGTCAGAGTGACAGGATGTGCTGGATGGCATTTGCTACTTAGGTCAAGTTTGCAGGGGAGATCTTCCCATTCATGTAATATTTAAACAGAAACCTGAATGAAGTTGAGTGCTTAGGCTATGAGTCTACCTGGGGCGGGACTGTTCCTGCAGAGAGAGCTGTACGTAAAAAGACACAGATGTGCCAGGGTGTCTCACCTGTCAGAGGAACAGCGCGGGAGATCACAGAGGCAGGGTGAGCAAGGTGAGGACAGTGGGGAATACGGTCTGAGGGGTGAGGGTCCAGGTCAATGCGAAGACTTTGCTTTTGTTCTGAGTGATATGAGAATTCAGTGGCGTGAGACATGATTTCATCATGGAATGAGTTACTCTGGCCCGAGGAGCGGGCAAGACGTGATCATAACAGACACCACTCGCCTAGCGCTTGCTGTGGGTTAGGGTCTAAACATCCTTTAAAGTATTTTACGTGTGTGAGTAATTTATAGGTACTCACAACAGCTCTGTGAGGTAGGCATTAGTACTGTATCTACTTTGCAGGTGAGGAAATTTAGGTAAAAAGAGATTAAATAATTGACCCAAGGCCACACAGGTTATTGGTGAGTGGGACCAGGCTGGTGGCCTCAAAGGTGGTTGTATACAGATGTATCTTGAAGACAGAGTTGATGGGATGTACTGATGGAATATTTTCAATATTTTAACCATCATAACTCCCATTTATCAAACATAATGTGCTGGCTTCAGGGTTAGGTTCTTTATGTAAATTATCTAATGCAAATTTCACAAGGACTATATAAATTAGCTACTGTTGTTTCCCACAGTTTATAACTCTGGAAGACAAGACCTACAGAATCAAAAGGATTTGTTTGCGGTCATAGCTGGCAAGTGTTGGGGGTCTGATCCCATAGCCTGTGGGCCAACGATGCACCGTTCTGCCTTTCTCCAGGTCCGCTTCCCCGCCCCTATGTTTGTACAGGACCTTTTGCATCCGTCTCTAATCTCTGGCTCTGGGTTTGTCCTTTGGACTTGAAAACACGCTAGGCTTAGATATTACTTTCTGCGAGGACCTACCTCTTTCAGCCCTTAGTCTGTATTTTCTATATCGTATAATGTCCTATCACGACTCATATGACGTATATCATATCTTATCTGCTATATGCGATATAGACTGAATGGTGCTCCTTCAGATTCATATGTTGAAGTCCTTATCCCCAGGGTGATGGCATTTGGAGATGAGGCCTTTGGGACATGATTAGATTTGGGTAAGTTCTTGAGGGCGATGCCTCCACGATGGGATTAGTGGCCTTGTAAGAAGAGACACCGGAGAGCTTGCTGTCTCTCCACCATGTGAGGACACAGCAGCCATCTGCAAGCTGAGAGGAAAGCCTTCAGCAGAACCCAACCATACTGGCATCCTGATCTTGAACTTTCAGCCCTCAGAACTGGGAGAAAATAAATTTCTGTTGGTTAAGCCACCCAGTCTGTGGTATTTTGTTGTGGCGGCCTGAGCTAAGACAGTATGTATCATATCACATATTAGATGTACTATATAATAATATATTATATATGATGTGCTATATAATAATATATTATTTCTATTTTACGCAAGTCTATTTATTCTTTTTGTCTGCCTGCTTCATCATTCATCTCCAGAAGCCTGCAGATTACCTAGGACAGGTGAATGCATAAAGAAAAGAATGAATCTAATTGCAGCCACCTGGATGACTACCACTGCCAATTAAAGAATCCGCAACCTGACCATTGTCTGTTTGGTCAGTGTCTCTAGGGAACCTTTTTTCTGGGTTCAGTGGAAGATCCAGCCAAGATGCTTCTTGGTCTCACCAATGCATTCAGTTCATCAGCACTTTCGTTGCTAATCCCAGGTCTGTACCTTCATTCCTCAGGGATCCAGACAAGTCATTTCCCCTCCTTGAGCTTCAGCTGCCTCATCGACACTGAGTGCAACACTAGGCTTCAGCATGTGACAAAAGCAGACTGTAAAGATCATCATCTGAGACAAAACTGGAAATTACGGAGAGAAGGGTGAATCGGAAAGCCTCCCATGCCAGTGATTCTTCCTGGGATCCAAGTGGTCATTCGCTGTGTGCAGAGCTCCGGGTGGTGGGGACAGAAAAGGCTGCGATTGCCTCCGGTGGCGGAGCTCCGAGTCTGGGAAACTCGTCCAACACTGAGCTGTGTTTCGTCATCTCTTTCAACAGGCCGCCCGGACCAGGAGCTGAGGATCAATTTGCGGTGCTCAAGTGCTCCCCCATTTCCGGAGGGGCAGTGTCTCTGAATATTTAACAAGGCAGGTAATAGTCCTAAATGGAGTTGGAATTGAGTCAGGTGGTTTGGGTCAGCCACAGCCTGGATTATAGAGCTGAAAAGAGAGGACGGACGATTTTTATTGATTTGGGGCCTATTTTTTCTTACTTTATTTGCCACTTTAAATCTATGTACTTTGCTCTCGGCAGCTTCCTGTCTGGATAATAGAAAACGTTTTCTGAAAGTGGTTAACTGGACAGGCTTTCATTTGTACCTGGGCTACCCCAGGGGGCACATGTAACTTCTGAAAGTTTATAGTTCTCTACGCAGCTAGGAGTCATTTGTTCATTCACTTATTCACTCATTCATTTATTCTTTCATTCATTCTTTCAAACATCTTTGATTGAATTCTTACTAGTGCACGGAAAAATGCTTGCTCTTTGCAAAAATAAAGAAAAGAAAGGCAAGTGAAATGTTTCTGCTCTGAAGAAACTCCCAGTCTAAGAGAACAGCCATGTGAGGCAGGATAAGATGATGAGACGTGCTGAGCCCACTAGAAAGAATGGACACAACTCAGCCTGGCTTGGATCATCCATCAAAGAAAACTCATCATCATATTTGTCTTTGGTTGATCTCTACTCCTTTTATCTCAGCACTCAATAGTCAAGTAAGCAAATCGTTGACTATCTTGAGGATTTTGTTTCCTGAAATGAGTTATTTGACTAGATTTTAACAAGTTTCCTGACATCTGTAGGAAAGCACGACATTTTCTAGGAGTCGACGTACTTGTTTGCCTGGGAGGCAGCGTTTCAGAGTGGCTAAGAGACTGTCTTTGTAATCAGATGGCTTGGATTGCAATTCTGAATCTACTTCTCACTGGCTCTATCCCACAAGAAAATTGTTTAAACTCCATGAGCCAAAATTTCCTATTTGTAAAACGGTGTTTGTAGCAGGAACACCTTCATAAGGTGCCTGGAAAATAGCATTTAATTAATATAATCTATGACTGTGGAAAAATATTTGAAGCTCCATGAAAACCTATTGCATTTGTAAGAAGAGACCATTGGTATATACAGAATCTACTAGCCCAAATACAAAATTAGTTCAGAGGTTCTCAGCCCCGAGAGATTTTGCTCGAGAGGGGACATTTAGCAACACGAGGAAACATTTTTGGTTTTCACAATTCAGGGAGTGGGTGCTAATGGTCTAATGACCAGAAGCCAATGATGCTGATGAAAATCCTACAACATACAGGGCAGACTCCATCACAGAGAATCATTTGGCCCGAAATGTGAACAGAATTGAGGTTGAGATTAGTTAAAGGCATTTGCTTAGGATGACAAGAGACATTTTAGCGACTTTTTCTCTAAGCATAACTGAGAAATATTTATTCATCGATTAGTACTTATTAATCAAAATCGAGCACAGCGGCTTGACTCTTCCCCGGGAGCTCAGGAAAGTGGCCCTGCAGCCGATGAAAGAGTCACTTGTGGGGCCTCTGAGATGAGGAGGGAGGCTGAATACAACGTCTTTGAATTATTTCAGGAAAAAAATGAAAATGTAGCCTGGAGTCAAAAGGGCATCCAGGAAAGATTGGAGAGAGCGGGAAGTGGATATGACAAAAGGAAAATGTAGATCGGAGAGTCTGCGGTCACTCTGACGTGGGAGGGCCTGTGCGAAGCTTCTGTGACTCGTCCACACCTCCAGTTTAACCAGCCAGCCCCCAACGCGGCTGCCCCTGTACACCCTGCATCCTGCCATCATGTGACACCCCCAGATCTCCCAACATGCTGCAGGCTTTGCTCACGCTGCTCTCTCTTCCTGCGGCTCTTTCTGGCACCCTTGTCCACCAAATTAGATTGAAACGTTTTTTGAGATGTCGCTTCTGTACTGTCTTCTCTGAGTCCTCAGCAGAGAAAATTCATGACTTCATCTCCGCTCCATTACACACTGAATAGACACCCAGCGTGTTCCCTAGCCCTGTGTTGTGTAATCTGACCTGTCTGCTGTGAGTCACCTAAGAGCAGGACCCTTGTACTCTGTCATCTTTGTTTCTCAGATGCCTTACATGCTTCTGGCATGAACTGGATGCTCTGTCAATATTGGCTGAATAAATTAAAATTACTGAAACCATTGCTGCTTCTAAAATTTTCTCTGTTGTAAGATAAAAGAAACTTGATGGTATGGAAGAGCCCCTGAAAAAGAAATGAACTAAAATAGATACAGTTTTATAATTACATATTCACTCACACATTGGATATTATTTCCCTCATCACAGGGTTGACCTCCAAGGCCCCTGTGGTGGCCATGAGGTTCATGTAGTTTAACAAAATAATTGAAAGCTACACTCACATGATACTGTTTATTCATTCATTCACTTGCTTATTTATTCATTCCTCAGATGTTTATTGACTCCTGGTCTGTGCAGACACTATGCCAGTGACAGGGCTATTATAATGCATGGGACAGATATGGCACCTGCTCTCAGAGAGCACAGAGTTCCCTGGAGAAGGCTGGTACAAGGGCATTTGATTCAATGGTAGTCAGGGCAATGAAAGCAAAGGACCAAGAGCTGTGATACGATGGCTTTGTGATGTTTCAGCATGGCCAGGCTGTCCTACATCTCCAGAACTCCCCTTCTGCTGTATGTTTCTAGTTGGGTCGGGAGACGAGGCATATTAGAAAGTGGGAAGCCAGCCAGTGACCGTTTTGTAGCAATGCTAACTTTTTCCCAGTTACCCAGACACGAGTCTTAGTGCTTCTGCAAAGGGATTTTATCAGCATCATATAAAGTTTCCAATTAGCTCATTGTTTTAAAAGTTAATCTAAAGAGAGTATTCTGGGTGGGTGTGACTTAATCAGGTGGAAGCCCTTTAAAAAGAGACTGGGGCCTTCTCGATCATTAGAGACTCTAAGTATCACATGGGCCTGTGACCGTGTTCTTCTCCCCCAAGATCGTTCCTAACTCTATGTCCAGGCTGGCTTAGCCAGTTCCTGCACCCTTCCAAACCAACTCCCTGTGTGTGTAAATATATATGAATAGGTACACATATGTGAGATCTACAACATACATATGTGTATGTGCATGCATGCATGCGTGGGTGTGTCTGTGTGCATACCATATATATCTGTTTCTGTTCCTCTGGTTGCAGCCTGCCTAATACCTATCAACATGCATTGTAGTTCTGTGGTTCAGAGATGGCCTCCTGGAGAAGTGAGTTGAACTATGAAGAATGAACAGGGAGGAATGAGTTAGAAGGGAACAATGTGTGTGACTTGTGGCCAGGGTGGTGTGTCTGAAGATGGAATGCGAGGAGGGGAGTTTAGAGATGTTAGCAGGGGCAAAGGGTAGAGATCCATGTAGACAGAGCCAAAAATTATAGTGGTTCCTTTGTTTGTTTTGATAAGGCTGAACATGAAATTTGGAAAGATGGGACATAGTTCCAGTAACTATATAGCAGGTGTCACAGATAACTGAGCATCACTATTCAGAAAACAACTGAGATTTTAATAGTCTAATATCTATCTCTATGTCTATTACCAACCTATCATCTATCTATCTATCTATCTATCTATCTATCTATCTATCTATCTATCTACCTACCTATCAATCATCTATTTATCTATGTATCAATCATCTATTATCTATCATCTATTATCTACCAATTTAGTTTCTCCATCTCTACTACTCGTGACCTGTTATTTCTTCCTCTATGCTACTCATTAGCTTCTCCAGAACTCAAGACTTCTGTTACTGCCTTTCTTTAGGTACTCCTTTGCAGCATCCTGTGTTCACTCTAGAGATTAACAAGTGATATTATTTCTGGTCATGGGTTGGTCAATCTTTATTGGGTTTAGGACTATTTTAGATAAGAGCCTTGTTTCAGCAATCTCCCTTGCAGCTTACAATAGTCGTAAAAAAATGGTCTTGCTGACAGCATTAGGGAGATGCACAAAGTTAACTTGAAGACTTTTGTGGGAGCCGATTGGCCAATGGCGTCACCACGTCTCTCCTTGCTAAATACGAGTTCATGCCAGCATCTGGTGTCAGCCCTACTAAAACACTAATAATTGATCAAGGCTTGCCTCTATTCAAACTTTTAGATTACAATTTACATGCAAACAAACACATGTTCTTGGTGCTGCCATGTCAACAACTATTGTGGGTTCATTTCTGTTAGAATGGTATTTGGCAGAGATAAAAGTTTCAAAGAGGAATTGTGGCTAGATGGGCTATTTATGTGCCTTTATTCATTCTGGGTTGAATAGTAAAGATCAACTCAGAGTTACTCTATTTATATAACTGTCAATAATAAAATCTTTAGCTCTTTACCTTGGGACTTATAAAGGTTTTTGTTGAAAAAGTATGTACTCTGGAAAGAAAATGTTGTAATTTTTGTTATGTGATTAGTTAATCAATATGTAATCATAAGTATTAGTCAATGGAAACATTTAGATTATCATTAAAACTGCTAGAAACCCTTTACCAGGGTTTTTCCTTCGTGCCTTCATGTTCCACTGCTATTTTCTTGGGAGGAGGGTAAAGAGTTCAACTCTGTCCAGGGTATTTCTTATGTCAGGATATTGAATCTTTACAATTTTTGTGGACAATACTCCAATTGTTCTACTATTGAAATGTTCTCTTCAATCGCTCCTTTCCTAATTGCTCCCAATAAATCTGGGCTTCTTATTTTACTTGCGTTTCTGAAAATTGTGCCTCTCATTGTTTGTTCAACGCTCTGGCTCTGTGGTCTGTCCCCTGATACGGGACGGGAGGGAAGTTTAAGCCTTTTTTCAGGAAGGAGTCATTTCCTCAGTGCAGTCCATGCTAAAATGTGGATTCTACTATCCCTCCGAGTAACATTACTGAATATCTTCTTAGGCTGAAGAAAATCTGGAGTTCTGTTCATTTTGTTTATTGCATAGTATACTGAAAAGCATGATTCCCATTTGACAGCCGAGTCAGTTGAGGCTCACCGATAAAACTTGCCTGAGGTCACATGACTGGAAGGTATAAGAGTTTGGACTGGAACCTAGGACTCTTTGACACTATTTGTCAGTATTATCTACTGCCTTTTGGCCTTTGATCTCTCCCTGAACTGAGTGCCCCGTGGCTGTGTAACGCCTGCACATACTTGAAGCATGGTCGTCCTTCCTTAAAGAAATTAAAATTTCGTAGCAATGTGAAATGTTGAATCAGGAGGCCCCTGAAAGTCCTTCAGTTTGTCATCCTGCCTCGCCTCTTTTGTGTGTTTGTGACACTTCTTAGTTGAGCCTTATTAATAGCAATACTGATCAATTTTAGAAGGGCAATGGCTCTGACTGCTAAACACAGAAATCATCTTAACATGTTTTTATAGCTTGAAAGTCTCTGTCTGCTGTAAATGCTAGATAAAATGTGTACACTCAGATCTGTGTAACTCCATTATGGGTTTTCCAAGGGCTATTCAAAGTCTTCGACTGTGCCCTTTGCCTCACCTTGTCAATATCTGACACTTGTGAGGAGAAAGACAACTCATTTGCAAGACTGTTGGAACCCAGCTTTGTCATTACCAGTGATGAAAGTAAAATCTAGTGTTAGTGAAGCAGGGAAAGCCGGGTGTCCATGCAAACTGTTGATCCAGAGGCCAAGTGGCGGGGAAAAAAAAAAGGATTATCTGGTATGTTCAAATAAGTGCCTATTTAAAGTCGTTGAGGCTGGAATGAAAAACCAAACAAAACCAGATGATAAGACAGACTCCAAACTAAGGATGCAGGATCCAGAAGCCTTGGTCTTTTTAGCAGTGCTGATACCGTCAAAACCTTAAGGTGACCCTCAGATGTCAGGTCATGGTTCCCAAGGTTCTGCTCTCCACTTTTTCACACACATTTGAGCGTAAATGCTCCTGGGAACTGTAAGCAAACAGAGTGACTATAACAGTGTACAATGGAAAACAAAATTATCATAGTCTTGAAAAGGTGGAGTCACTTGTTTACCATTTTGGCCGTAGGAATATGGGAAAATCAGTTGGCCTCTGTAAGCCTTACATTTCTCCTTTGCAAAGTGAGAATATGAAAACCCATGTCAAAAGGTCACTATGAGAATTCACATTACTAAAATTCACATCCGAGATGCCGTGTTCGAGAGGGGTGAAGTAGCCTGGTGGCCCACTGCTTGTATGGATCGTTTCTTTCATTTTCTATATTCTGGTGCTTTGGCATCTGGAGTCTTACTGACTCCAGAAGGACTGCCTCTCCCAGGGCTAGCTGGTTCCTAGACAGTAAACAACTCACCCACTTAACATCCTTTTCAGGGGCAAATTAACCAATTTAGAGTCCAACCCGAACCATCACCTTTATTGAGCTCTTGTACTTTGGGTCACTGTCAGCTCTAACCTCTCCGGGTACCAGACAGATGGCCGAGCACTAGACAACGGGGGGCAGCTCTGATGCACTACAGCCTGCTAAAATGACTTAACCTAGCCAGTCGTGAGCCCGCTTGCCCTGCTTTGCCTATTCTTTCTTGTGGACACCGCAATAAAGGCTCTCATCCAGTTTTCTCCTCTCCACAGCCTCCTGACCAAAGTTGATGCTCCCGAGCCCTCCCGCCCCCACCCCGTGGCATGCCATTCACTCTCCTCTTTCAATGGCAGTCGTCTTTATTTCCCAATCTGTTGACCTTACTATGCCGAAATAATAATAAACCTATTGAAATACTGCTCCATCCCTCTGCATCTCAACACCCACCATCCTAGAATCTCTGGAAGGCCAGCTTGAAACCACAAAGAGAGTGTAAAGTGCTGGGCAGAAGCGAGGACCCTCGTTAAGGCGAGACAATAGGGGACTTGTTTGTATTGCATTTTTCCTCTTGATCTGCCAGACACTACGGCTAATGGCAACTATTTCTCTCCACCTTTCTTTCATTCATGCTATTATTCTCAATGGATTCTTATTGACAGGTCAAGATAGCCTGCTCTAAATTTTTTTTCCAGTCATTTTATTCTGTAACTCTATATGTGCTAACATGAACCTTAAATGCACCTGTTATAGCGGTGCACTACTCACTTCTGGTGACATGCTGCCAGCCGAAGTGATCCCCGTGGGTGCTTTTTCTGAAAGGAGCTTGTTTAGTCCACGCCTGACAG